CCCCAAGTATGCCATCTAAAGATACTTGTAAACTATTTAATCCAATGCCTTTTTCCTCAGTACTTATTTCACTTGCCCTCTCTTCAGCTCTTGACACCATAGACCACCCCCAACCCCCATCCTTTTTCCTCATTTGCCTCTGTAATACCTCCTCTTGGCTCTCCTCCTACACGTCTGACCTTTCCAGGCCGATTTGCAGGTGTCCTCCATGCCCTAATCCCTGGCCTCAAGTGTCTCCTCCAAGCCTTCCTGGCCTTCTCTTTCTTCACTCATTTAGTCTTTATTGGCTCCCATGGGTCTGAGTTTCATTGTTCACACAGGTGACTCCAACCCACGAATTTAATTAAGTTCAACAAAATTTTGAAGGTGGACAGAGTATTTGCAATGCATAAGACACTATGTTAGGTGCTGAATAAAAAAATAACAATGGTTAACAGTCCTTTCTCTCACAGACTTTATATGTATACCCATGAGTAAATACATCATAAATACAAGGATATTTCATGGTGGTGGAAAGGAGAGCATTCATGTTTGTGGGGCATTCACAAAAGGCCTCAGGTTGGAGGCCACACAAGCTGAGCCTTGAATAGAGCCAAGGATTCCAAGACGCAGAGGTGAGAAAGATCAGCTCAGGCACAAGAAGCAGCTTCCAGGGGTGGGGCACCTACGGCCTCGAGGCCACATGTGGCTCTCTAGGTCCTCAAGTATGGCCCTTTGACTGAATCCAAATTGGATTCAGAGGGCTGCACTTGAGGACTTAGAGGGCCACGATGTAGCTTTGAAGCTATAGGTTCCTCACCCCTGGCTAAAAGACAGGAGGAGACATGTAAGGGAAGCAGAAAATAGGAATGGGGAATATCTGAAAGGAATGAGTAAGAAATCAGTTGGGAAAGTTGGTGGGAGCCACACTGTGGAGAGCCCTAAAGGACAAACTGAGAAGTTTGGCGCAGCAGATCGAGCACGGGGCCTGGAATCAGGAAGACTCATCTTCCAGAGTTCAAATCCAGCCTCAAACACTTACTAGTTGCGTGACCCCGGGTAAGTGACCTAACCTTGTTGGTCTCAGTTTCCTCATTTGCAAACTGAGCTGAAGAAGGAAATGGCAAGGCACTCCTGTATCTTTGCCAAGCAAACCCCAAATGGGGTCACACAGTCAGACATGCCTGAAAAATGACTGAACAACAACTGTGGGGACTATACTAAAGGCTAATGAAGGAAGAATAAAAGGATTGTCGAGCAGCAGTGACAGAAGATTCAGCAGCCAGAGAACTGTCGGGCAGGCCTTTTACCTCTATTCATGTGGGCCGTCAGGTGTTACAGTGGGTAGGCAGCTGGACTTCGAGCAGACTTTGAAGCCTGCCCACCAGTAACAGGACAGGGTAACGAGGGATTTAAGGGAAGAAGACAGTACATAATTTAACTGGTCAACTGCAGGGTCAAAATTATGAAGAGGGAAGTGAGGCTAAAGCATGGGTGATGACCTGGGAGGACTGTGAGGAAGGAAGGTGCGGGATATCACCATGAAGAAGAAAAATAGGTTAGGAGGAGTTGGGCAGAAAGACAGAGAAAAAGGAAGGGAAGGGAATAAGCATTTATATAGTACCTACTGTATGCCAGGCATTGTGCTAAGTTACAATTATCTTACTGGATCTCCCAACAACCCTGTGAAGTAGGTGCTATTATTATCATCCCCATTTTATAGTTGAAGAAACTGAGGCAAAGTTTGAATTATTTGCCCAGGGTCTTGTTGTTATGGTGATTTAGTAGTATCTGCCTCCTCGTGACCCCATTTGGGGTTTTCTTAGCAGAGATACTGGAGTGGTTTGCCATTTCTTTCTCCAGCTCATTTTATACACGAGGCAACTATCCACTGTGTCACCTGGCCTTTAAGGCTAGGCTAGGAGGTTATAATCAGAAAGAATTTCAGAATTCTGGATGATAGAGGTAGCACAGTTATGGGGGATGCAAACAGGAGATGTAAGTTGGCTAGTCTGGCCAGAGCTGGAGCACAGCATACAGAGGGGAATAATATGCAAAAACACTGAAAAGGTAAAAAGAGACCCTGTTGTGATGAGCCCCAAATAGGGGAATTTATATATGATCTGAAATTATTATTAATAACCAATGATTCAGGGAGATGCAGAGTTCCCCCATTTTCTAAAGTCCTGATTTTAAAAGTTCAGTCTCTTGCAGAACATTGCAGATAACGAGATTGGACTAACTTTCTTGTTCAAAAACCCACCCAGGTGGAAGCTATAGTGATCTGCTCAGCCTTGGGTGGGGTATGCATTCTTTGACCAGATGGCCCAAAGCTAGAGATAGTTTCTTGGTCCAAGGGTGACATGATATCCCTCATTTTAATATAGCCCATCTCCCATCGTGTTAACCAGTCAGAGTTGACTGCCACTCCTCTTCCAAAAGAACAAATTAGCTCTGAGCCTGACACCATGATTGCCTTTGGTCTAAGAGGGAAGCCAAATGACCATCTTTTTATTAATACCATGCTGGCATTATTAACAAAATGATTAAATTACTCAGAAATTATGTCCCTCAAACCTTTTCAATCATCACAGATCCTAGTGGAACTTCCGGTGTGTCCAGACCTCTGTCTTACTTTACTTAACCCTCATGCTACTTAGATGGGCTTCTATGTCAAAATGCCTGCCTGATTCTAGAACTTCTTTTCCCTTGGCTTTGGCCCTGGCCTCCTTCCATATCTGTCCTCTACCATGTGCTCCTAAGCCTTGCCCCGCAGTTGCGCCCCAAAACCTGTTGCCATTTATGGTCCTGGGGCTGACCATGGGATTTTTTCAGGTCTCCAACACCTTCTATTAGCTGCTTTGCCATGTGCTCTTGGCCTGGAAGAACCTGCGAAACTGAAGAAACAGAATAAAAAATACAACCTGTCTTTTCCTGTGGTCAAAGTTGCCACAGATGTGAACCTGATAAAGCTGCACTGCTTATAAAAATGTGGCTTTTATTCTTCTTAATAACTAAGAAGTTACGCGTTTCATAAAATTGTCCCCACTTTAGACTCTGGAAAACCCTGTTTCTCTCCAGGGGTGGTGGGATGCGGACTTTTATCAGGCTAAGGATCAGGGACAAGGCTATCAGGGTAGTCCTAGCTGCCACAGGTGATGGGGTGGAATATCGTAACTCTGCCTTTGGACAGGCAGGCCATTGAGGGTGACTGAATCACTTATGATGGTATTTCTAATCCTGGGAGTCTATGAAAATGTTGGTTCAGTACAAGAACAGTGCTTCTCAAACATCTTCACTTGATGGCCCTCATGAGAGATGCTGTGTCATCTCTCTTTCAAATTTAAAGTAAAAATTCTCAAAGCAACATTTTACTCTTATCATCCAGACTTGTAGCTTGTTCACAGTGCATGTTACTGCTTTTTCCACAAGTCTAATCCACTAAGCATTTTTATTAACCAGAGACATAGAAAATGCTTTTCTAAACAATTCATGTGTTAAGGAAGTAGGAATATATAAAGGAGACTGCTTGGAAGCATTTTGCAAGGAGGAAAATCCAGTGTTCACATGGAATTATGCCATGATTAAGACTGTAGATGGTAATTAAGCATGGATAATAATAACAGCTAACCTTTATATAGCATTTACTATGTACCAGGCCCTTTATAATCATTATGTCATTTGATCCTCACAACTTTGGGAGGTAGGTGCTATTATTATCCCCACTTTACAGATGAGGAAATTGAGGAGAACAGAAGTGACGTGACTGGCCCAGGATCACACAGCTAGTAAGTGTCTGAGGCTAAATTTGAACTCAGGTCTTCCCGACTTAAGGCCCATTGCCTCTATCCACTGTGACACCTAGGTGCCTAGATAGAAGTTGGGTTGGACCCAAAAGAACCCCTATCCCTTGAGGAAAATGCAGGGGAAATCACGAGCGATCATACCTGCTTAGGCAAAGTTAGGCATCTTATTAAAAGAATAAATACTGCATTGAGACATAAAGCTTTTAAAAACAAACATATACCGAAAATTAATGGTCTGCCATGGCCAAAAAAGTCCATTGTTGACTGGCCAGCTTCCTGGTGATGAGCTTTTCCATACTTAGCTGGGTCAACCCTCAGAACACAGCTTTGGTCTATGGTGAGGGCCATAACCGAAGCATTTCCAACATGGTGGAACCTGTAAGAGCTTACACTCCACTGGCATGGCCTTTGAGAACCCAGGATCACCTTCACATCAGGCTCAGATATTGGAGAAGTACTTAGCGGAAGCGAAATTGAGGAAGGCCTGCAGTACTTTGGATGGATTCCCCAGGATGCGTCCTTATAAGAGGACATGGCTGAGACTCACATAGGATGGGTAGATATGGATAGGTCGTGATCTGCACTGTCGGAAGGAACTTCCAAGTCAGGGAGGTTACAGATCCATTATGAGTATCCCCCCTGAGGGGGAATATGAGTATCCATATAATAAAAATCTCAACCCCAGACATCTTTAAAAACAAACTTTCAGTATTTCTGTGGTTGTAGATATATACAACATCATTTGCTAGACAATTGTTTTAAAGACAGCAGAAAAATGGAAACTAGAAATTTTCTCCATCCAGTTCTTGTCCTCTTTCTTTTTCTTGACCACCATGACTTGTGTTGGTCAGTTCCCTAAAATCATCTAGTTGAAAATGATGGAAGGGTAAGGACCCTATCTTCAACTAGATGGAAAAAAAACACTGGTTGGGGTTGTTTGTAGAGGAGATTCTTGGTCAGGTATGGGTTGGCCTTGATGGCCTCTCAGGCCCTTTTCATCATTCAAATAATCCAGTTATTGTGGGATCAGACTGGATGGAATAAGACTCTTTAGGTCTGGGCTTTTAAATGTAGGCAAGGGACGGGGCTCAGGAAAACTATAGGATAGGAAGGTGTATAAGGGACTAGCATTGAACATGGATGGGAGGACATTACCAATCCTTTGTAATGTAGATTAAATGAAAACTAAACTGATGACTTTTTTTTAAAATCCATTATTAAATTTTACTCCAAAATAAGACACGGAAAGGTATTTTCAACCTCCTGATTCATACAAATGCATACATTTACATATTTCCCCTTATGCAGCTTTCAGATTTGAATTATTATGTGGCAGTTTGCCTATTGAGATACCCAAGAAAGGATGTTATGCTTTTGCAGTCAGTTCTGTGCATTGGGCTTGCTAAGGAAAGTGTCACAACCGCAGTGATTCATCCTGTATGCGGCCATATTCAGCCAACTTCCCTTCATCTTCTCACAGTTGTGGGGCCTGTCCAGAGAGTCTTGTATTCATGGAAGTTCACAAGGTGGTTTCATCCTTTGTTTTGCTTTTCATCATGAGTCTCTACTTTCTTAAACAAATGCCAGGCCCGGGCCATTTTGCGAAGTTTAGCAAGGTTGGGTTTAGGATACTAGGAAAAAAAAAGAATTATTATAGTTGTTAACATACTAAAGCAAATATGGATACTCAAATCCCAAATACACTGTTAATTTACCAAAGTATATTGAAATCAGGCTTCAGGGAAGACTAAATGAGCAACACAATAGGTTTCTCCAGGATAAAAAAAAACTCCTCTAATAGTCGTGGAACCTAGATTCTTTGTGGTTCAGAATGGGGCAGAGTTTCCAGCACTAGGGAGTTCAACTGGGCTGCATACAAAGTTCTAATACCCATGACTCACTGTAAAAGAAGAATTGGTAGTTCTTTAGTGGGAAAGGTAAGCACAATTGCTGGCTCTAGGAATGCAATAACATGGACATTCTTAATATGGTCTCATGTTCTGTTTCAGTTAAGATTATAACTGAGAACAGAAAATATTCTTAATTTAAACCACTCTGTGTCCTTGCAGCTTTATCCACACCAAACTCTCTGGGGTGGATTGTGACCACAGTCTCATAATCCCCCAAGATGCAGAGACTCCATCAACTGGCATTGCCGTTACAATAAGTTACTTTCATGGTAAGTGACCAGGTAGTATGACCACGCTTAGCCAAAAGCTAATCTGCAGTATCCCTACCAAGTCTCTACAGTTCTAGGAAAAAGAATTGCTCCGTCCTATCCAGAAAGACAAGAGCAAGTCCGCACTAGATATGATGGATCCACAAATCTGTGCTTATACCAAACTCAAGAATACTGAACCATGTGTGTGTGGTGGTGGTGGGGGGAGGGGTGTGTGTGTGTGGGCATTTCAAAATGGGTGAGCAAGAAGAGCTGGTAGTTTATTCAAGGCAGCACTGTTCCCTGCCCTTTAAAAGAAAGAGGGAGACTCAGTTTCCTCTTCTTCACTCTTAATCGCTAAGGTACCTGTTTCTCCTGTTCCAGATGGTCTACGTCTGCCAAGGGCAGCATCGAAGGTCTCCCATGAGCACACTGGAAGGGCAGCTGGCACCGAGACAGAGCCTCAATAAGTCGACAGCTCTCCTCTAGGCTCAGGCTGTCATTAAACTTAATAGCTCCTAAAAACAAGAAAGGAGCACAAGAGAAGGGTCACATGGACAGTGAGAAAGCAATCCTGACTATGCCCCAAATGTCTCCTAAATAAAGGAACATACATCTTGGACACTTTTCTGTCGGTCTTAGAATTGCTGGAGTCATCACCTCAGACCATGGATGGAACTTACGGCTTCCTGCTTCACCATGCTCCTCAGCCATTCCCTGAGGAAACTCTCATCCTCGTAAGAAGGTTATGTTTTGTGGCTTAAACTAGAGCCATATAATGTGTTTTCAGAGTTCCTCTGAGTGACAAAAGCAGCCTTACATTCTTCGGAGTAACTAAGCCTTATATAATTAGGGTTATTTTTCAATATTTTCTTTCCTCTGGCTCCAGGTTCAATCTACCAAGTCATGTTAATCTTTCTTCAAAATGTCCCCTTTCATTTGCCATTTTCTTTCTACTTCTACAGAACCCACCCTAATGTAAATCTTCACTAGCTCTTGCTTATGTCATTATAATAGCCTAAATCTGATCCATCACACAAAAGTAGCAGTCAGAACATTTTTCTCAAATGCCATTTTGTTTTATTTTTTTCCTGCTCAAGATCCCATATCAAATGCCTGGACAACACAGTATGAAGGAATGAGCATTAGATGTGCAGTTGGAGCCCTAATGGTTCAAATCTTGGCTGTGCTGCTTTTACAAATACATCCCTTGGCCTTAGTTTCCTTCTCTGAAAAATGAGACGGTTGGAGTCCCAATCCAAGGTCTGTTCTAGCTCTAAAGTCTACGTGCCAAAGTGAAACGTTCCATTTTGGACTTCAAGGCTTCCATCTCCCCTTCTCAATCTAACTTCTTCATACTTCTCTATATAGATCCTTTATTCAAACTAAGCTAATCTACTTGGTGTTCCACAAGTATGGATTTGTTTGTTAGGCCTATGTTCATGCCATTCCTTCCATCCACTGTTTTCTTTTTTTCTTCTCTCTACTAATTCATGTTGAGTTTCATTCAAAACCCACTTCTTCTAGGAAAGCTGATTCTATTTGCTCTTCCATTTGGCTCTCCTACTGAACTCCTATATCAAATATTTGTATGAAACTCAAATGATCCCACTGTATTTTCCTTTGGTTGTTTCACATGTGTGTTGTTTCTTAATACAGACTGTAGGCTTCTAGAGGCAAGGCTCCATTTGTCTTACATTCTCCTCTTTCTTCTTCCACCCGTCAAGAGTGCTTAGCATAGAGTGAATCTTTAATAACTACACTGAGGTTCTTACCATGACAGGCCTGGGACGCTAACACCTTCTGGATGGTAAGTGGCAAAGTCCCTTGAGCTCCTCCTGTAGTCTGAAGCAGCTAAAAGCAATAGGACATGATTAACTCTTCATTCATAGTAGGAATAGAGGGTGATAGATGTGAGACCTCTGCCTGTCCTCCCCAAACAAAAGAATTGCTTACCTCTACTTGTTCTCGAATAAATTCCTGGAAAGCAAAAAATAAGTGCAAGTAAGCTGCTGTTATTCTATCTTTTCTCTACCAAGAAAATAAATATTTGAATTGACTCCTTTAAGGACCAGCAGCCTCAAGGAAAGGAAGCTTGGAATATGAGGTTTTATAAAACATAAAGTGCTTTGAGTAAGACGTTCTGTGAAGATTTAAACACATTTGTGCAAGGGAGACTCGATCCAGACACAGCTCCCAACAGCTTATGAGGACGTGTAATTGGTAAGAGTGGCTTTGATCATTTATTAAGAGATAGTCTGTTTCTGTTTAAAACTCTAGCCAGAACAAGTGTAATGTTGGACACATATTGTGAATAAAGGCAAATAAATAAGAAAAAAATTAACATAATTTTCCACTCAATACAACCCATGCTTTATGATCATAAACACCAGAAATTTTTCATTCAAGTTTCCACAGTAGTTCTTGGAAACTCCCTATCTTTAGATTTAAAAAAAAAACTCTATAGTACTTAAAAAAATTGCCTGGCATATTTTTGCCCCTGTTACATCTCTTTCAACAGCCTTATTAGAGCAGATACTAATTTTTTTGGGCAGGACAATCAGGGTTAAGTGACTTGTCCAAGACCACAGAGCTAGGAAGTGTCAAGTGTCCAAGGCTGGATTTGAACTCACGTCCTCCTGACTCCAGGGCCAGTGCTCTATCCACTGTGCCACCTAGCTGCCCTCAGCAGATGCCATACTACAAATGAATTTTAAAGACATTTCTACCAGACCTCCTTTCATGCTACCCATTTGTAAAACCTTTGAAAGTTAAGCTAGTCCAGTTACAGGGAAGAGCACTGCTTGAAGATACAGCACCACTAGCGATTTCTTTGCAATAAATCACAGGACTTCTTTATTAGGGATAAAGTGCTCAGCACAGTGCCTGACACATAGTAAGCATTTAATAAAGGTTTCCTTGGTTTATTGTTTCCCTCCTTCCTTCCTTTCTCAGTGCCTCTAGGCTCCCATTGCTCTTAATTGTCCTTCTTTTAGATCAGACTTAGAAAATACTCCTTCCTCCTCTTCTCCCAAGCCATGTTCTAATTCCCAAAGTTACTCAAAGCCAAATGGTAGACATTGCACTGCCTCAAAATCACAGCCATATTTCTCCCAAGAGGAGAAAAAAACAAACAGAAAGAAACTGAGTGACCCCCTTATCAAAGTTAGTACAACAGAGACAAATAGTAACTCCTCTCACATTCTCTACCATTGGTGTTTCCAGAAACTAACACATTTAGATTACAAAGCCCAGTGAGCAAGATCTGCATACAATTCCCTGATAAGTCGCTTGCCCATCATCACACTGAAAGGGAAGTGTGTGTGTGCGTGCATGTATGCGTGTGCGTGTGTGTGTGAAATGCTGTGAGAAAAGAGCTTTGAAAATTATAAAGCATCATATCAATGTGAGCTATCATTATTACTATTACTAATAACATCAATGCTACCATTACAACTGTTGGGTTCAATTAATGTTAAATGATTTGTTCTCTTAACTAGGAGCATGTTAGTGATTTGTTCCATCTGCCAGAAGTTAAGAGGCTACTTCTCTTTGGAGATACAGCAAAGCCATTCCAGTTCCCTTCAGAATCAACAAAAAATTATCTCGATCAGCCTGGCTGAACATAAGTAAGATTTTTCTTGCCATCATAAGCTTGATTTCAAACTGAAATAAACTCCTTAACAGCCGTCTTTGATGTGTGTGCTGCAAAAGTTTTTGTTCTAGTTTAATAGAGATTGAATAGCAAAGTCTATTAATGAAAAAAATAAAAAAGAAGGTGGGGGGAGAGGAGGGTTAGGGTAGAAGCCCCAAAGTAAAGACTGCTGAGAGAATGAGGGTAGCAAAGGACAGCTTATCAAATCGACCAAGGTCAAGCTCACGGCCTCTCCAGGCCAAATGCACCGGGACAGTCCCAAAGCAACCTTCCCAGCACGGCTCACCTCCAGGATACTTTTTGTCACAGTAGGTCTTCCCCTCCGAACTTCATTGGCTTCTCTTTCTACAAAGCAGAGCGGCACCTCCCCAACAAGGATATGGGAGCTGGGGGTATCGGGAAATATGAATTTCAGGCCCAGATCTTCTAGACCCTTGTGGTAACACCTAAAGAGATGAAGAGTCTCCAATGAACTAGAGTATATCAAAGAGTACTTCTGAAGAAGACTCCTTTGTTTCCATTTCAGTTACAAATACTCCATCATTTTTCAGAAATTGCCCTGGTTTTTAAAAGCTTCTCTCATTCTCTCATAATTAAAGATCTTCTTTTAGGATTCTACTATTATAATATCTCCCCTTTTGAGATCACAGTAACCTCCACTTATTCCCCATTTCGCTCAGGGAAACAAGGGTCTTGAGAGATTTAAAATACCTGGATTTACTTTTCCTCTTCACTGGAGAGTTACTCACTCTGATAGTTGATTTTCAACTGGCTCTTAAAGAAGCCTGGCACAAAAACAAAGAGCTCAGAATGTTTTAAATCAGCATGAAGGCAGGGAAGTAATTAATGGCCCCTGGATCCGAGAAGTTACAGATTAACTGGATGTAAATAAATGGATCTGCAGCTAATCTAAATTAGGCCCTAGGAGAAATGAAGTATTGGCAATAGCCTTATTTCCAAATCTGAAATAAATAAGAGACAATTCTCTCCTTCCCATTTCCATAAACGGCTGCCATCCCAGGAGTTGGGAAAGGTCTTATCTAGTGAATCACTACATGATTTATCCCTGCTATGCTTCTCTGTGCTAGACATTTCCTTCAACGTGATTATGGGAACTATATCTAAGGAATGAGAATACATTGATACAAAGCAGAATGGAAGCAATTATAGCAGTAACGTTGCTTTCAGAGACTACAGAATAAACACTCCCTGTTCCAAGAAAGGGCGAAAATGATCTAAGTTCTAGCCGCTGGACCAGATTACTAGGCACACTCTATCCTATACTCAGTATCCCATCTTTAAAATGTTCATCACTCAAGCATGGTACTAACTGTAAGAGCCTCCTCTGTTCCTCTGTCACTGTGACCTCCAGTGGTGGGTAGATGGTAGAAGACAGCAATTTCTTGCGGTGAAAGCTTTTTGGCTGTTCCTTCTCATAGGAATCTATTGGCAGAAAGTTTAATAGGTGGGAACAAAGAGAAATAAAGTCTAGGAGTCTCAGATCAAGCATGAAACATGACAGAGCATAATAATGTTAATTATTCTACTGCCTAGTTTTAGACCAAGAGTTTTTAACTTCAGAGTTTCAGGTTTCAGCCTTTTGGCAGACTCAAAATGTAATCCAGCCTGTCCATACGTTTTCACAGTAACTTAGTAATCTAAGAAATCTTCATCTTCTATACCAAAGACACAATGTCACATACATGTAGACAAATAACAACTACTCTTTCACTGATACAACTGAATGATGTGGGTAGGCTGGGAAAGAATACAAGGTTTTCTAATACAAATCTTGAGACTGTATCACTTATTCTCAAGAGGTCACTAGAGAAGACCGATCAGCATAATAGTCTAAACACCATTGCAATGAAGTTTCTCTAACTGTGATACTGTAATATGTTCTCTCTTTCTTGGGCCTTCCTCTTTTAAAGAGAAGTGAAAAATGGCATGGCAAATTTCTATTCAATAGAAGTATCCATCTCTATCCTTTCCTAGTCCACTGTCAACAGTGTTTTTTTGTTACTTACCCACAAAAGTAAAGCTCTTCCTGTAATTTCATCCGTTGGGGAGAACATAGTCCGATAATGTGAAAAATGGTCTATAGTGTTTCTAAAATGCATACCAAGCCTTCCGAGATTCTAGAAACCTTTGCCCAATGGACACTGAAGTGGAACTGCCCGGCTCAGTCCCCTCAACTTAATTCAAGTCTCTGCTCTGGACACCATGAATAGTAGTAGGAAACCTCAGGGACCAATGGGCACATTTCCTAAGCTTCTGACCAATTACAACCTTCCTGTCTGGATGACAGGTCTGACTGTTATGTCCTTAACTTAGAGTAGAGGGCACGAAAGGGCCTTCATTCAAGTGGCCCACTGCCTAGGTACTTCTTGGCGTGCCCCTGCTGCCCTGAGGATTTCCTCAGGACCTACCCCACAGGCAGACATCTGCTGAGAAGTCAGTCATCTCCGTTATTCCATGCCTTTCTTGTTGTTCAGCTGTTTCAGTCATGTCCAACTCCTTGTGACCCCATTTGGGGTTTTCTTGGCAAAGACACTGGAGCAGTTTGCCAATTTCTTCTCTAGCTCATTTTACAGATGAGGAAACTGAGGCAAACTGGGTTAAATGACTTGCCCAGGTCATACAGCTAGGAAGTATCTGAGACTGAATCTGAACTCAGGAAGATGAATCTTCCTGACTCCAGGCCCAGTACACTATCCACTGTGCCTCTTAGCCGCCCTATTATTCTGGCCACAATTACGTCTTACCACAAATGAGCTGCTCTAAGCGGATCCTCTCGTGGGCAGCATGCTGATCTACCAAGACAAGCAGGTTTCCACCTGGGAATATCAGAAGAGATTAGGACCATTTGAATTCCAAACTCGGGAGAACGAGAATAAAAGAACCATTTTATATAGAGCAACAAAGGCTGACTGAAATTACTTAACAACATAAGTACAAGATGAACCAAGGTTAACTAAAGAGCAATAGTATACTTTTAGCTTTCCAAAATACTGAAATTGTAATAAAGATGCTAACAAAAGATGCTTTCAGAGTCAGTATTTCCATGAGCACGGGCATTCCCTTTAGCTATGCATATCTTAGCTTTTCTCTGCTTAGCATGGTTTCCATTGGTATCTTGGGCTAAAAAGCTTCCTCACCCAGAAGCCAACCACCTAGGCTCTCTGAATTTTGCTAGGCTGGTCCTCGGACAATTTCGCTGGAACCATATTGGAAGCCTTTCCAGCTTGGGAGAGGATGTCCAAGGTACTTTATCAGTATATCCTTCAAGAACCAAGGGTCACGTCTATGCCATGATGCAGTTTAGGAATATCTTAAGGCCTTTTTGAAAAAGGCACTGAATTTATTTCTAATGAGAGAGTGTTGTCATTAGTACTCACTAAGGATTAAACACTACACTTATATGCTTTATTAATTTTAATTTGATAAAATGGAGTTTCATTAAACACCACATTAAAATAATCTAAATTGACTGCATGAAGATTTGGGATCCATGAAGATTGTGATTTTTATATCATTTGAAGAGCATCCAAATGTCTTGGCAGAGGGCCATAGGATACCACATTTCTGGTTATGCTTCTTTTTCAGTGCTTAGGAAAATGAAGTGTAAAAAATAAGTCCCATTCTCTTTCTGTTATGATAGCAGAATTAGTCTTCCTAAATACAATAGGAACATCTGTAGCCATATTCTTCAAGATGTCATCATGGCTTTTTTTCATGAGGGCTTGTCATGAACATCTTGCAGGAAGGAGTAACTCTGGCTGAGGTTTACTTTTATAGGTTAGAACTTTATTGCTCTGGCCAAGGGCCATTGCAAGAATTAAAGTTTATTAGAACTGCTTTAAAAATGAAATTCTGTTCTTGAAATTGGCTGAAGAAGATTATGCCAAATGGCTATTTGCTCTTCCTCCTACCTAAGAGATAAAAGACGCTGCCCCCAGGATACCCTCGAGCCCAGGGCATGAGAGGTTAAGTCTAGAAAAAGAAGCAATTTTTTGTACCGGAGCCCAAAGACAGGGTTGGCCCCCAGTGCTGTAATTTAAACTCCTTTGAGGACAAGAATTGCAGCTGGTTGTGATGAATGCTGTACATCCTGTGCTGGGCAAAACAACTGAATAAATAATAAACTATGAGGCAATAACATCAATATGAAACTGATGCCAATGTTCATTACTAAGAGTAAGGGATACTATGAAATCAGGACCACACCTACCCTTGGCCTATCTAGAAGGATGTTTATTCTTTCTTCTGTTTATAGTACTTCCATTTTTCATTTCTTAGATATAAATGGAGATATGACAGTAACTCTATCTACATCAGAAACTATATATATATATATTTTTTTTATAACCCTTGTCTTCTGAGGCTTCATAACTAGATAGCTGTACTTAACTATAACAGAAACAAGGAACATAAAATGTCAAGCTAGAGGTATTCAGTTATCTGTAATTTAGGACAATAATTTGTTTGGCCATATAACAAAATACAAGTGCAAATGTCAAAAGTAAAGGAAGTAAGTTAAGAGTTTTGAACATATTATTCATAGAACTAAAAAAAAATTGGTAAAAAAAAATCCTGGATAATGGAAAAACTTTTGGTATTTTGACTTAAAAAAATACCAGAGTTATATTAGCTTATCTCAGAGGCTTCTAGTTTAATCCAGTATGTGTCATGAAGTCTAAAGAAAAGTTTACCATTGTCCTTTTCTCACCAGGTCCGAAACAAAACTCATTCACTATCTTCCTACCAAACCCTGTCCTCTCCCCCACTTTTCTAGCACTGTCAAGGGCACCACCATCCTCCTGGCTACTCAGGCTCCCCATCTTGGTGTCATCCTCAACTCCTGATGTACACCCACCACCATTTTTCCAATTTGTTTTCAAGTCTTCTCATTTCTACCCTCCCAATGTATCTCAAACATATGCTCTTTTCTCTACTCACACAGCTGTCCTATGTTTCAGGTCCTTATCATGTTACACCTGCACTAATACAATAGCTTTCTAGTTGGTCTTCTTGCCTTAATTCTCTCCCCACTACAAACTAGCCTCCACCAAGCTTCCAAACAGATTTTTCTAAAGTGTAGGTCTGACCATATAATCTCTCTACTCAGAAAACTCCAGTGGCTCCCTGTGACTACCAAGATCAAACAGAAAGTGTTCTGTTTGGTATTTAAAGCCCTTCACAACCTGAAACCTTACTATCTTTCAGATCTTTATACTTTACTTCCCTCAATGTACTCTATGATTCAGCTACACTTGCTTACTTACTGTTCCTCATACATGATATTCCATCTCCCAGGATATCAAAGGATTTTTTTCTTTTTCTTTTTTTTTTTTTCTAATGATGGTAGTGGGGAGAGAAAATAAATGCTTGTGAAATTGAAAAAAAAATAAATGAAAAAGGAGTTATAGCCTCTAGTAAAAAAAAAAAAAAAGAATTGATAACAATCAGAACTTCCCAAATTAATTCATTTTTACTGGCAGTCCACTGACTCCACTTGCCTATATTTTACAGGGAATGGAATTAATTTTTCTTTGCTCTACTGATGAACACTGGGATTATTAAGTAAATTAACGGTGTAAACAAGATTGAAGGATATATATTTAAGATGCTAATGAGAATAAACTCTTTCCAAATCAAAGGTTCTTAACCTGGTATCTGTGAACTTGCTTTTTAAATATTTTTCTTTTTTTTTTTAATTTACTTTGATTTATCAACAATCACTTGCATATGCTTCTGAGTTTAAAATTTTGCTCCCCCTTCCTCCCCACCACCCTCCCCAAGATGGCGCACAGTCTGATATAGGCTATACATATACATTCCTATTAAACATATTTTCACATTAGTGATGTTGTAAGTAAAAATTAGAACCAATAGGAGGAATCACCAGAAAGAAGAAACAAAACTCAACAGAAGAGAAAAAAATAGCAATTCAAATTCCATAGTTCTTTCTCTGGACGTGGACAGCATTTTCCATCTTGAGGTCTTTGGAGACGTCTTAGATCCCTGTATTGCTGAGAAGGGTTAAGTTTATCAATATTAGTCATCGCACAACGTGGCTGTTATTGTGGACAATGTTCTCTTGGTTCTGCTCACTTCACTCAGCATCAGACCATACAATTCTTTCCAGTCTTTTAAATATTTTGATAACTGTATTTCGATATGACTGATTTCCTTTGTAAACCTTTGTTTTATGCATTTAAATACATCACTCTGATATGTTGTCCACAGGCTTCACCAGAATGCTTACGTGGTCTGTAATTCCAAATGGTTAAGAACTCCTGGTTTAAAAGTATCCGTTTTACAGACTAATGGTTGCTATCTTATTTATCATTCTTATCTATTCATTAGAACAGATCCAAAGGAATTATATACTACATATGTACTTGCAACAACTATATTTATTTGAACATTTTCACAATTTTGATAATTCTTCTGCCTCACAGTTGGTTTAAATCAGCAATCGTATATCCAAAATTTCCTTAAAATAAGGCCATGCATCTCTTAACTGAAGGTCAGCAGAGTACTAATCAAGGACAGGCTCTATTCTTACCTGTGCCAACATTCTCTTCCTGTTTTGTACTCATTAAACAGGCAATAAACTTGTTATCCACTTGCTGGAGTACCTGCCAAATATTCAAATTAATAGCACAACAATGAATATAGGTTTACAAAGGAGCTAGAAACCATAACAACAGATTTAATATCAATATATCTTTCTATTAGAAAAAATGAAGTTAGTGTTATGGTACTGGCTGGAATCTAGACACACAGACACAGACACAGATACAGACACACACACACACACACACACACACACACACACAAACACAAAAGTAATCCTGAGGTTATACAACAGCCCATTCCGGGGGGGGGGGGAAGGATGGCCTATATTTAGAGAACTATTATATATTTCATTGATGCTCGGTGATGCTAAGGCTCCAGCCTCCTTTTCTAGCCCTATTTCTTACTACTCCACTAAATGTTTTCCACAATACACCAACCAAACTGGACTAGTTCCTGAATATCTTCACCCCTGCACCAAAGCTCATGTTCTTCTCTTCTCTTAGAATGCTTTCTCCTCACAGCTCCACTTGTTGAATCCTACCAACCTTTTAAGATCTAGTGCCGAGTGTATCTCCTCCATGAAAACTTCCTTCCTTTACTGAAAGGGATTTCTCCTTCCTCTGAACCCCCAATTCACTTAGTTTATATCTCTTTTTATGGCATATACCACATATTCTTCCTTGTACTACAGCTTTTTTTTTTTAATTTGCCCTATCCCTCCTACTGGATTAATTTAAACTCCTGGAGGCTAAGAGTTGTATCTAAATCATCTTTCTAACATTTATAGCATATTATAAGCTGTTGTGCTAGTGCTCAAAAGAATTTACTTGAAATGAATTACACAAAAATCTAGAATTTAGGAGGAGGGAAAAAGTTCTTTAAAAATGTACAGAATTTAATCATGATATTAAGTCTTAAAAAGTTTTAAAATCCAAGTTGACTGATAAACTTGGTAAGATAACAGAATTAGAGGGGCAGCTAGGTGGTGCAGTGGATAGAGCTCTGGCCTTGGAGCTGTGTGACCCTGGGCAAGTCACTTAACCCCAATTGCCTCACAAAAAAAAAAAGATACAGAATTAGGGCCGACATGTTGGGGCAGTCATTGGGAAAGATGAGAATGCTAGAGACACAGGGAGTGAATAGATATGTAAAGAGAGAAAATAAGAAGGAGGATATAAAAAAACAAGGTAAAAAGATGATCATGGTTGAGTGGCAGTGCTTCACAGTAAACAGAGTGCTGGACTTGGAATCACAAAGACCTATAATTCAAATTCTGCCCCTGCCCCTTGCAACGGGCAAATCACTCAACCTCTTAAACCCATTTAACCTCTTAGTTTCCTCCTAGGTGAAATGGGAATAATAATAAAATCTATAGCAACTATCTATAGCAACAGGGTTATTGTGTGGCTCAAATGAGATGTTTATAAAGATTAAATAGATTATATGAAAATGAAAAGCTTCTGCACAAACAAAATTAATGCAAACAGGATAAGAAAGGAAGTGGTTGAATGGGAAAAAAAATCTTTGGATCAAATGTCTCAATTAAGAGTTTGGTAAGGAACTGAGGTGGGACTTGAATTCAGGACTTCCTGACTCCTGGCCCAGCACTCTATGTACTTACTGTGCCACTAAGCTACCTCAAATAATAACAGAAATAATAAGGTGAAGGACACAGTGAGAAATTGAGGTGATGTAAAAACAAGAGATATTAATACAATTTTATGTATTTAAATTTTTTTTCATCCCTTAACCTTTGCTTGTGAAGCAAATTGTGAAAAGTATATGATCTGTTTCTCTTCTAACTCTTCTACTACGTGATGTTTAATATTCAGGTCACATACCCACTTTGAATCTATTGTGGCATATGGTATAAGATGTGAGCGTGAGCCTAATTTCTTCCAGACTGCTTTCCAGTTTCCCCAGCAGTTATTATTATAGAAAGTCTCATGTTTCTTAACGCTGTCTGCAGCTATCTTGTTCCAGTAAAATCCCTCCCCTTCTAATTGTGGGGTCCTAGCTTGACCCATGCGTGCGAAGTTGTCACGTACAACTTTCCCAGCTGTGGTGCAGTGTGCTCTGGGCAGCACTATCTGCTTGTTGGTACTTTTCACAGCTTGCTTCTTAATAATGTCTTTATTTTTCATTTATATGTTCACTCCTAAAGTCAGATAACCCCTATGAGTTTCTAATTTAAAGGTGCCATTATGACCTCCATTTTACAGTTGAGAAAACTGAGGCAAGCAGAGGTTAAATGATTTGCTCAGGGTCACACATCTAGTAAGTATCTGAGGCTGGATTTAAATTCAGGTCTTCCTGACTCCAGGCCCAGTGCTCTATTTGCTGTACCACTTAGCTGTCTCCAGACAATTCCCACTGTTGCAGGAACTGTCAACAAGGTAGTTTATTGATTCCTAAATATCTCACAACAGCAAGTGCATGATTCCGTGCAAAATTTTCTTAGCCCCTGAAAATGAGGGTAAGACCACTTTGCAGAGGTGTGGAACATTTTGTGGAAAGGCAGACTTTTTTTGACATATTGGTTAGTTTAGCTGAACTTCTTTCTTCCTCTTTTTTATTCATTTTTTAAAAGGGATGGTTCCGAGGAAAACGTTTCCAGGAGATATGCAGTAGGAAATGTAGGTTATGTAAAAATATTAGATATCAGTAAAATGCAGTTTTTGTTTTTGCTTTTTGGTGAGGCAATTGGGGTTAAGTGACTTTCCCAGGATCACTTAGCTAGTAAGTATCAAGTGTCTGAGGCCGGATTTGAATTCAGGTCCTTCTGACTCCAAGGCCAGAGATCTATCCACTGTGCTACCTAGTTGCCCCTAAAATGCATTTTTTAAAAAAAGAGAAATTGTGGGTCAGAACACGCAATTCAACCCTCTCGGATCTTCCACATTCCTAAACAAATTGCTTTCTTTGCAATACAAACAATTTCCCTTTGATTTCTTTGCCTTCTCCTCTTCTGTGGTAAAGATTATATGAAAACGATGACAATTTAACAACCTAACTAAGTACTCTGTACCTTTAATAAATGTAATTTGCTTAAAATTCAGCAGCTATTTTGGGCACTGCATGTGCTTTTTATTAAGCTTCGATCTATCTTTTACCTGCATCGAATGAACCATCTCTTTGGTAAAACGATAGGGATATAAGATGTTGTGAATTTTCACTGTTAGACTCTCAGCCTGTTCACTGCTCACATCAAGAGCAACCTATAAAAAAACCACAAACAATACTCCTTAAATCTAAATTTTTTAGATGTCTATATTGCCTTTTCCTGAAGGTTCTCAACATGCTTTTAGAAGCATTTATTTTCATAGCACCTATAGGTAAAAAGAATGAATATAGAGAATTAACAGAAATGTAAAAGAACCTATAAATTATAATTTTGTTTAAAAAAAAAACACCAAACTTCTTTTTTTAAGTAAAATCCTTTTTGAAAATTTCTGATGAAAATGATACTGTAGTCACCAACTTTAGCCAAGAACTACTGAACAGTCAGTAATCAATTACTGGACTACTACTTATCATCATCATCATCATCAATGAGAATTTATTAAGTGCTTATTATGTGCCAGGCACTGTGCTAAGTATTGAGAACACAAAGAAAGGCAGTAACAGCTCTTGCCCAGAAACAGCTTACATCCTAACGTGGAAGACAACATGCAAACACCTACCTAAATATACACAAGATATGTACTATGTCAGTGGGAGTTAATCTTAGAGGAAAGGTACTAGCAATGGGGGGTGGAGGTGGGGTGAGTGTGTGAAGCATAGGCTGTGAAAGGCCTCTTGTGGAAGACAAGATTTAAACTAAGTTTTGAGAAAGACAGGTAAGCAGGAGGCAGAGATGAGGAGTGAAAGCTTTCCAGACCTGGGGGACAGCCAGTATGAAATCTGTGTGTGAAGAGATGGAATGTCATGTATGCAGAATAATAACATGGCTGTTGTTGCTGGATTATGAAGTACACAGTGGAATGAAGAATAAAATGACTGGAAAGGTAAGAAGGGTCCTGGTTATGAAGGGCTTTAAAAGCCAGGTAGAAGATTTTATATTTGATCCTGGAGGACTAAGGACCCACTGCAGAGTACTGAGTAGGAGTGGGTGGTTTACATGGCCAGATTTGCCCTTTAGGAAAATCACTTTGGCAGCTCACATAGGACATTCGGTAATACTTACATTTCAGAGAAAATGTAGTGCCCAACTGGAATGACAAGCTATTGCATCACTAGAAGATGTACCCATTTATCTAATGATACCAATTTTTACTATGACTATCCTATAGTGGAAAAAGTACCAGGTCCAGAGTCAGGTGACTTCGAGGCAAGTCTCACCTATGAAATGGGCCATCTCTACGACTTCAGTAAGTCACTCAGCCTCTGTGGACCTCTCTCCTCATCAATAAAATGAGAGCTTTCGATGAGATGCCACTGAGGTCTCTTTCAGCTCTATGCCTGTGATCCTATGATTGTATGGAGTTCTGACAACACTTCAGGGCATGGACAGTTTTGGTCCATGTACTGGTTACATAAGAGATTTGCCCATAATGTCAAAGTTGCCAAAATGTTATTAATTTTAATGCCTTCTCTCTCCACAGATGACATTTCACTTTCCAAATATAGCAGAAATATTGCCAATTTCCATTACTGAGTCATCTGAAAATTAGTTTAGTCATTCATGTATTGACTCCAAGACTAAAGAAAGTTCAGACTCACCTCTGGATAGCGGGCAAACACTGGATTTTCCCACTCTGAGAACAAAGTTTGGAGAGAATCAGTACCAGTAGCTTTATCCACAGTATCTAACATAAAAGAAAAAATGTAAAGTTAGTTTTGGAGGCAAGGAAAATGGCAATCTTCTATTTTCTGTGGTTTAACTTCTGAAACTAAAATCACATTTTTAGTTGCCATATTCTACAATTTTGCAGTGTAAATGTTACCCCTAAATGATCCCAACATGTTCATATTTAAACGAGTTAATGGAATTATCTTCTGACTTTACAGCCATTATTCTAGACTGAACACAAAATGAAAAATGAAAAGACATGGATCAAAGTATCAGTTTTATTCCCTTTATTTAAACACTTTTGAAAATAGGGTGGGGGAGGGAAAGAGATAGGAAATGAAAACTAAAACAAAAACAAAAACAAAGTCTATAGCTTCTTTCTAATATAAGAATTTTGCTTAAATTAAAACACGTGCTGTATTTCCAATCTCTGACATCAAAAGAGGAATAATTTTTCAAATTATAAGGTACTTCAGACCATGTAACTGACCCTGGAGTCTGAAAAAGTAATTTCTGATCTAAAATGCATAAGCTGAATCACTTAGTTATATGGTTAAACAGGACCTTGGGGAATTTCTGGTTCAAGTCAGTCACAGCTGGCTCTGCTCAGGAACATTAACACATTTTTGCTTTGTTTTGTGAGTTAGGTGACAAGGTACTGTGTGTTCCAACAATCTGACTCTACCTCTGTATTCCTGTCTCATCATGGTCCTTTCTTCTCTAGTTTTACGAAGGAAGGGCAGGACAAGCTTGCTTCTAAATGGATGGCACCTGAACTGAAATCCTAAATATTGAAAAAACAAACAAACCCACCACACCAAAAATCAAAATAAGACAAAACAAAAAAACCCATTGTGGAAATTTCATACAGGGGACTGCAATCATTTAGATTACATAAAACTAACAGAAATACAAAGTATCTTTCCATATAAAATAAATGATCCAAGACAAAATGTAGTCCTCTGGATAAGACACCAAGATGCCCCAGTGAGGAAGAAAATTTTGGTGACTCAGACTAATCCATTTTAGGGATAAAATCTAAGGTCTCAGTTTCGTCATCTGGACAAGGAAGATGTAACGGAGCCGGCTACAGAACAGGAGTTCATCAAGTACTTTTCGGCATAACATTTTTTTTCTTTAATTTAGGGATGAGATGCTTAACCTTTCAATTCACATACAAAAGAGGCTCAAATCTTCTGTGACCATCAAAGAATAAAATGCACCTTTCCCACAGGAAAAATGCCTTGGTTAAATTCAAATTTAGGTTTGAGTATTTTTATATATTCATTGACTAATATGTACATTAATTGTACATGGTTGTTTGCATGTTATGTCTTCCTCTCCCCGTGTCTCCCCTTCAACTCTGCATTTGATTGTGAGTTCTTTGTCGGCAAGAACTATCTTTTGCCTTTCTTTTTATCCCCAGCACTTATCACCGGCCCCGGCACATAGCTGACACTTAATAAATGCTTATTGACTAAACAGTAAATATTCATAGAATCACAGGATTCCAGAGCTGAAAAGGATGTGAGTGGCCAGTTCTTTGGGTAATACAAAGAATTAAGACATGGTTTTGGACTTCAAAGGTCTTATAATCTAGTTGAGATACAATATATATTTGAATATTTTTATATATTAATTGATAATATGTAACAGAATTGTACATAGTTATTTGCATGTTGTTTCCCCTCTCCCCCTTCCCCCTTAGACTGTGAGCTCTTTGAGGGCATTCTATGTATCATATGCAGAGAGAGAGAAAAAGAGAGAGAGAGAGAGAGACAGAGAGAGAGAGAGAGAGATTTGACTAAAAATGCAAGGTTCTAGATGAATGATACAATAAATGCTAAAAGAGTTCAGATAACATAGAAATTACCATGAGCTTGAGTTCTAAATTTATCCCACAGATAATATAGAGCTGTTGATAGTTCTTCAGGAAGGGAGTGAAACAGTGAAAGAAATGTCTGAGGAAGATTAAACTAGCAGAGGCATGAAGAATAGATATGAGACTGAAGATAAAGAGACCAAGTAGGAGAATACTGCTATGGTTCAGGTGTACTGACTTAAACTAGGGGCATACAAGTGATTAAGAAGGAAGACATTTTGAAGTAAGAACTGACAAAATTAAGTGACTCTATATTATTCCCTAATATTACTGTCACAATTTCACTTGCGTAAAGTAAATTTTTCACCTTTTCAGCTCATTTTACTTTACCTCTTTTATCTCTGGTACAGTAGGGTCTTTCAACAGTTAAAAAGCACACATATTTCTAAAGGGCAATTTTCCCTGTCAGCTGAAATTGTTCAGAATAATTTCTTCCTGAAAATTTGTTTGAGTACTTAACAAATTTTATTTTTCATCAGGAATCCATGAGTTGACATGACCTTCTAAAGTTCATTACAAGGTTGACTGGTCTAGAAAGTTACGTTAGTTGAGGCGCTTTGAACATCAAGATTAATTTCACAGGAGCAGATGTTTACCCTGGTTATAACAGCCAAGATCTTCCCTCTTTATTAACAACTGCTGCACGGTGTATTGTGTTCCAGTTATTTTTTTTGGCACCATACCAGAAGCAAACGCACTTCAATAATATATATTGACATAATTAATGAAGTGCTTTGAGTTTGATCACACAATAAGCATGCTACATAAATTAGGACATGTAACTATATGTACTGAAAAGGTCATAGGTCCCAATGAGCAAACCTATATTCTCAGGAGCATTATTAATAGAAAGGATTTCCTCTTAAAAGTGATTCCTTGTCTGTAGCAAAATACTAAGGGATGTTTTGGAAAGTAGTGGTTTTACCCAACATTAAGCATCTTATAGTCTTTTGCTGGCAGTACCCATCTGAAAAAAAAAATTAAAAATTCATCTGTATTTAGGAGAAGCCTTTTAATATGTATATTGTTTTTAATATTTATCATTCTAGTGCAAATTTGGTGTTACTGCCAGATGGAAATCTGCTTTACCATTTCCTAACATCTGGGTCTCAACATACTGCCAAAATACTGTCACTTTTAATCTAAACTGAAAATTGAGAACTCAGAGTCCTAAGCTTCACTCTACTGCTGTCTTACAGTGTCACCTATGAGGCACCTTAAAACCTTCCAGAATAACAGCAACCAAATCTGTAAGGCAGTTATGTATAATCATTATTATAAAATGTTTCTGAAAAATTGTTATAGAAATACATACTATACTGAAGTTCAAATATCAGATTTTTTCAACTTCTAGAAATGAGGTTTTATTTACTAATATACAGTGAAAGAACAATAAGATGGGACTAAAATTTGCATGATATAGTATAAAGCATGATAAAGCACTGAATTTGAAATCAGGACATGAGTTAGAAACCTGCTTCAGACACCTACTAAAAATGTTTTTATCTTGAGGAAGACCCCTAACTACTCTATTCTTTCTCCTCATTTATAAAATAGAAATTATAATACCATCTATCTACAGAGCTATTCTAAAGACCAAAAGAGATAATGTATATAAAGTGCTTTGTCAACCTTAAAACACTACATAAATGAACTATTTTTATTGTAATTTTAACTTGTAGTAGTCAATTTCTCCTTGGGGGGAGTGGAGAGAGGGAAGGATTTAAGCTTAATTTTGTACTGATGATTCGGGTATCCTTAGAAAGACCAGTGATAATATTATTCATCACTGGGTCCCTCTAGTTCTTGACTAGAAGTCACAATAGGGTCTATAGTTCATTAAAAATAATGCCACTGGACTTCTGGGGATGAAACCAAGATGATGGAGAGGAGAAAGCACTCAGCTGAGCTCTCTCAACATCCCCCTCCAAACAACTTTAAAATAATGCCTCAAATAGAACTCTGGAGTAGCAAAGGCAACAAAAGGTCAAAGTGAGACATTCTTCCAACCCAAGACAACACAGGAGGTCAGAAAAAGAGATCTGTGTCATGGGGGTAAAGTATGGCCTGAAACCCATGTGAATGAAAATACCAGTGGTAGGACTAGGTGGTGGTAACAGAAGGAGCAACAACTTTGAGAGCTCTCAAACCAGAGATGGCAAGGGGACCTGACGACTGGTCAGAAAGAGATTACAGGGTACCCCTGTGCTAGCAAGGGACACAGCACCAGAATCTGTTCAGCAGCTCCACTGCCTATACCCACTTCTGGGTCATAGTTCAAGGATAGACAGGAGCACTTTTGGTCAAGAAGGAATGGAAGCCCTGAGGGGCAGTATCCCTTCTGGTCCCATGGGATCAAGGACCCTAAAGAAAAGTATCATTTCTGGTCCCAAGGGAACAGGGGCCCTTTCTGGTTAAGGACCAAAGTGCAGAGCAAGAAAACAGGGACCACACCTCGCCCCAGATCACACCACCTTAGAAGCAGTGAAAACTTCTAAACTCCCAAAACCAGCTATGAAAACAGCAGTGCAAAAAATGCCTGAAGCTTTGGACAGACTCTCCTACCCTCCCATGCCGGGAATGGAGTCCAACATTAACATAAAGTTCTAAATCAAGAAATAGGGTTACAAAAGAAAAAAAGAAAGAAATAGGGTGAAAAAATAAGCAAACACACACACACAAAGAATCTGACCATAAAAATCTACTACGGCGATAAGGAAGATCAAGACACAAACTCGGAAGACAATGAAGTCAGAACAGCTACAAGCAAAGCCTCAAAGAAAAAAATATGAAATGGATACAAGCCCAGTAAGAATTCCTGAAAGTGCTCAAAAAGGATTTTAAAAATAAGAGTGGTAGACAAAAATTAGGTAAAGAAATGAAAGCAAAGGAAGCAATTATGAAAAGACAGTTAATAGCTTGGTAAAAGAGGTTAAAAAAATTCTGAAGAAAATAACACCTTAAAAACACAATTGACCAAATGGAAAAAGAGGTACCAAATTCGCTGAAGAAAACTCTTTAAAAAGCAGAATTGGCCAAATGGAAAAAAAGAGGTGCTGAAGAATATAATTCCTTAAAAATTAGAACTGGGGATTATTTTTTCACAACATGACTAATGTGGAAAGATGTTTAATATGATTGTACATGTATAGCCTATATCAGATTGCACGGAAGAAGGGAAGGAGGGAAAAAATTTAGAACTCAAAATCTTATAAAAGTGAATGTTGAAAACTAAAAATAAATAAATAAATACAATTTAAAAGTAATTAGAATTGGGGAAGTGGAAGCTAATGACTCCATGAGACAAGAAACAATAAAACAAAGCTAAAAGAATGAAAAAAATAGAAGAAAATATGAAATATCTGATAGGAAAAACAACTGACCTGGAAAATAGATCAAAGAGAGATCACTTAAAAATTATTGAACTACCTGAAAGCCATTATCAAAAAAATAGCCTGGACATGATATTTCAAAAAATTATCAAGGAAAAGTGCCCCCAATATCCCAGAAACAAAGGGTAAAATAGAAATGGTAAGAATCCACTGATCACCACCTGAAGGAGATCCCAAAATGAAAACTCCCAGGAATATTATACCCAAATTCCAGAACTCCTGGGTCAAAAAGAAAATACTTCAAGCAGCCAGAAAGAAACCATTCCACTAGCACACAGCCATAGTCAGGATCATACCACCACAGTCAGGATCCCACCAGATTTAGCAGCTACTACATTAAAGGAGTGGAGGGCTTGGTGAAGGCAAAAGAGCTGGGATTATAACTAAGAATAACCAGCAAAACTGAGTATAATCCTTCAAGGGAAAAAATGTCTATTTAATTAAATAGAGGACTTTTAAGGATTCCTGATGAAAAAAACAGAGCTAAATAGAAAATCTGACTTTCAAATA